TTTGATTAGTATTTAATTAACAAGTTGCTGGTACAAGTGATTGTAATGTAATTATTGTTCAAGCATTTAGCAATTTTTCCACAATGAACATACATTATAATTCAATATTTTCAGTGTAACAAGTTGTCGATAATTCCATCTAATATTAAAAATCATTCAAGTATTTAGTAACTTTTCCACAATAAACACGCAAGTAACACATATATTATAATTCAATATTTTCAATGTAACAAGTTGTTGATAATTCCATGTAACATTAAAAATCATTCAATCAACTGTTCAAGTACCTAGTAATTTTTCCACAATAAACATACAAGTAACACATACATTATAATTCAATGTAACAAGTTGTTGATAATTCCATGTAATATTAAAAATCAATCAACTGTTCAAGTACCTAGCAATTTTATCACGTAAACATGCAAGTAACACATACATTATAATTCAATGTAACAAGGTGTTGATAATTCCATGTAATATTAAAGATCAATCAACTGTTCAAGTACCTAGCAATTTTATCACATAAACATGCAAGTAACACATACATTATAATTCAATATTTTCAGTGTAATAAGTTCTTGATAATTCCATGTAATATTAAAAATCATTCAAGTATCTAGCAACTTTTCCACAATAAACACGCAAGTAACACATACATTATAATTCAATATTTTCAGTGTAACAAGTTCTTGATAATTCCATCTGGCGATGTAGTGTTAAAAATCATTCAACCATTCAGTTGTTCAAGTACCTAGCAACTTTTCTACACTGAACGTACAGATTCTCGATGAATAACGATAGTTGACGATGAATATACCTGTGCACGGGGGCCGACCCGAAATTCGTCGATTTATAGCCGGTGGTTTAATACCGGTGCGGGATGGCAGAGGACTCTAAATTCCGTGGATGGAGCATTGAAAAGCGGGGGGGGGGGCAACCCTTCGGCAGGCCGTTCTCTCTCTGTTTCAGGACGTTATCGCGTCTCCCACAGGGAAACACGGGGCCGTGCCACCCGAGATTATCCGTATTGGGGAGCGGAGCACGCGGTGTCGAGACAATGCCCGGGATTTTCGGCTGGTTCGATGCGCCTCTCTTCCTCTCGATCCCGACTCCCTGCGTAGTTAGCGGCATGCGTGACTCCGCGAACGGATCTCGCGGGGATTTCGAGCGTGCATCAGCTCGAACAATCCGCCGATGGGAGGATGGGCGAACGTCCAAGGCCGATCGATTCGCCCGGATTTCCCTGAAATTGATGGATAAGGAAGGACCAGGAGAAAGAGCGACCAGAGTACGTTTCAGAGTACGTTGGTTTAGCCGAAGCTATTTAATCTTCCACTCTCTCCCTTTCCCCCCTCCTCTCTCTCTCTTTGTAAAATGCAGAAGTGAAATGTTTGTGTTCATAAATGTCGGAAACTTCCGTTTCAATCTAAATGGATGAAAGACGGCAGAGTGAAACAAAAATTAGCAGATTAGTTAAGAGAATCGGTAAGCTAAGTGAAATATGAGTAGTGCAAATTATTAAATGAATTTTCGACCTAGATTAGAAACAAAACTTCAAGAACTATAGAGAAGAATTATTAACAATTACCAGATTTCAGACTCGTTGATTCTAAGATTACGTTTCGTCGAAATCTATTTATATCTACCAAAAAAAAAGACAAACAGAATAAAAAGAATTGCATAAAAAACAAAATTGAAAAACGAACTATAATAACTTGTGTACACGAGCAGATACCAGATGCTAAACGAAGCGCAAACATTGACAGTAAATTGCGAAAAGAACCTGTCGTCCCGTCGCGGATTTTATTCTCTTTTTCTCCTCGCAGCAAACATCCATGAGAAACGCGATGCGTTTGCCTTGTGCGTTTCGTTTTCGATTTTTTTTTCTCTCTCTCTCCCTCTTACCATTCATGATATATATTTCCACTCACGGGCTCTCTTCTCGTTGTTCCCGAAATTTTTCAGGGTTGAATCTCCGCGAAAGGCGGAGAGGGACGTGGATGATCCGTTAAATTTCCGCGAATGGAGATGCTTTCTTTCACCGAGCACGAGCGAATGTCATTTTTCTCACGGGTTGGCCGATGCCCCGAGCTATCGATATCATTCGCAGGCTTCCGCTATACCGGGCGCAAACAAACGCCCGCGTCAGCCGATCCTCAGCGCGGACCAGGTCCACTTTACAGAGGGTGAATTCTCTTAACGTTTCTCTCTGCCTGCGAATCCTCTTAGCGCTTCGGGGTCGGGCAAAAGTACCTTCCAGTCGATCGATTTCCCTCGGAACGGACTCCGCGTTTCTTCCCTCGCTCGCGTCCACCGAGTCGTTCTCTTCTTAACCGAGTTCTCTTTGATTGCCTTCGATTTGGGTTAGAAGAGGATTCGGGTCAAGTTTAACTTCCGATCGTCGCGCTGGCAGATTTAGTTTCGAGACAGTGTTTAGTGTTGCACAGTAAGGCCATCAATTGTAAAATTAATCATTAAAATGAATAAATATCAAGAGTAGTAGAAGCTACTAGAAAAATATTAATCAACGACGAAAAATATTAATCTTGGATACCTTGTTCGATACACGATATCTATCTTTTTAGAAATATCTTTCGAAAGACTGAGAAATAATCATCATACATACATTGCCGTACAAGGCACGTATTTTTGACGACAGAATCAACTAATGAATTTCACCATTTTTCCAGGTTGCACGTTCCCATTACGAAACTTTCCACCGGCAACTGCTACTTATGCAAACAACACGTTGCTGTCGTTCGCAC